AGGCCTCGGAGGGGCCGTTCGACGTCTTCAGCGACATCGAGACCGCCAAGGCCCCCAAGAGCACCAGCATGGACCTCGTCAAGGACCCCTGGGAGCTCCACGCGCAGTTCACAGAGGTGCCCGCACAGGCTCTGCAGGGCCCCCAGTGGAAGCAGGTGGTCTCGGCCAGGGTTCACGTCAAGGAGCCCATCACTATTATCGAGGGGAGGGCTTCGAACATGACATCTCGTCATATCACAAGGGCCCAGGCCTCCTTTGGTCTCCGTCATCTACGTTCCGGGGACAACCTCGGCACCGTGCTCGCGCTCGGACGTGGGCGATGCTCCTCCTATCCCCTTCTGCTGTGCTGCCGCAGAGAGGCTGCCTACTCCGTCGCCACTGCGTCGCGGTTCGAGCATCGGTGGGTACCTTCGGAGCTCAACCCCTCCGATGAGGGGTCGAGGCGCTGGGATGCCAAGTCGGGAGGTGTCCCGCCTGCCCCGCGCGGTGTCCGTCAAGCGCCCAGCTGCCAGCCCCAAGATCGTGCAGAAGAGTTGTTTGAAGGGCAGGCCGTTTGTTGGGGCGACGAAGGAGGAGAGGATTGCTCACCGTCTGCGGGCCTCTGGGCCGTTCACGATGGTGGGGGAGGACGAGAGGAGCTTCCTGGAGTGGAACGCGGTGGCGCCCGAGACCCAGGCATGCTACAAGGACGCCCTCGACGACTTCCAGACGTTCGTGGACCTCTTCGAGCTGCCGCTGCACACCGCGGCTCAGGTCGACCTGGCGCTGATGAACTACGCCGACTACGCCTGGGGCATCGGGCTCGAGAGAGCCGCCGTCCTGAAAACATATGCCGCGTACATCTCGGCGCACCCCGACTTTTCCCGAAATGGGTCGCTCCGCCTGCCGCGATTCTGTCGGGCCCTCCAGGGTTGGAGGCGCCTGGACCCAGGCCAGACGCGCCCGCCCATGCCCTGGCAGGTGGTCGCGCTGGTCGCGCTGGCGATGGCCGCGCAGCTGGGGTCCCCGCACGCGGCGCTCATGGTGGTGACGATGTTCTGGGTGTACCTCAGGCCCTCCGAGGCCGTCGGCCTGCGCGAGCAGGACCTCTTCCTCCCCTCGGGCTCGCGCACGGACTACGGCTTCAACCTGCACCCCAGCGCGAGGGGCGAGTGCAGCAAGACCAGCTTGTCGGACGAGAGCTTGCTCCTCGATTCGGTCGAGGTGCCCTGGCTGGGCCCGCTGCTGGCGCGCGCGAGGTCGGGGGACCCGCAGGCGCCGCTGTTCCGTCTCACCGCCGCGCAGCTGGGCGTCATGTGTCGTCAGTCGCTGGAGCTGGCCGAGGTGCCCACCAGGTACGTGCCCTACCAGCTCCGCCACGGTGGCCCGTCGCACGATCGCCTCAAGAGGTATCGATCCATGGACGAGATCAAGAGGCGCGGGCGGTGGGCCAGCGACTACACGATGAAACGCTACGAGGCCCACGCGCTGGTGCAGCAGGAGCTTGCAGCACTCCCAGTCGACGTCCGCCGCAGGGCCGAGGCGGCGCCCGCGAAGCTGCACGCCGAGCTCGAGAGGCTCCTGGCGCGGCCCCAGAGGCCGCGGACGGCCGCGCCGTCGGCGCGGCTGCAGGCGGCGCCTGCGCCCAGCATGCGCCGCCCCGCACCTTCTGCCAAGGTGCCGCAGCCCGCGCCCGTGCCAGGCCGTTCGTCGAGCTCATGTGCGGCTCCGCCGCCTTGGCCAAGGCCGTCTACGCCGCCGGCTGGGCTTCGGAAGGCTGGGACTACGCTGGCGACCCGCGAGCCGACCTTCTTGATGAGTCCCTCATCGACAGTCTGGTTTTGAGGATCTCACGGAAGGAAGTCGCGGGGGTGCACGTCGGCCTGGACTGCAAAACGTGGAGCCGGGCAAGGAAGAATGATGGACAGGGTCCGCCGCCGCTCAGGGACGATGCGAATTTGCACGGCCTCCCTCTGCTGGCGGCGGCGGACGCTGAGAAGGTGAGGATCGCCAATCGTCTGCTCGCTAATGTTCTGCGCCTGCTGGCTGCTGCCGTCGAGGCGGGAGTCCCCTTCTCTCTCGAGAACCCTCGCTCGTCTCGCCTCTGGCTGGTCCCAAAGCTGCTGGACATGGCCCGCGACGCTCACGCCGAGTGGGCTTCTGTTGATTATTGCCAGTATCAGGTCCCCTGGAAAAAGGCGACTACCTTTTTGCTCTTCAATTGGCTGCCAGCGCAGCCTTCCCTCCGCCTGTGTTCAGGCTGTCAAACAAGGTGTAGTGCAACAGGTAAGGCACACATAACACTGAAGGGTAAAGATCCGCTCGGTGTGTTCTGGACTTCGAGGGCGTGCCCTTACCCCGCGGCGCTCTGCAAAGATCTTGCAGCGCTGGTGGTGGCCAAGGCCAAGACACTGGATGGCAGTGGGTAGGGGCTCAGAGTCTTGAGTGCCGCTCGCTCAGTCCGTTCAGGTCAGCGCCATCGTGCTGCCCTGTCACCGCCTGCCGCTCGTTCTCTTGATTTGCTTCGAAGCAGCGGAGCATGCCGAAGGAAAAGTTGATATTGGCACGGGTAGCAGCCTAAGCTCATGCGTTGTGCTTGCACATTAATGATCTCTTGCTGCGTTCAGTGCCGTATGTTGTATTTATGCTCAAGTTTTTTCCAGGACCCGCCTGCCGTCCCCATCTTCCACCTTCCTGGGCGTCACTTCGCCCCACAGGGGGCTCAGAGTCTTGAGTGCCGCTCGCTCAGTCCGTTCAGGTCAGCGCCATCGTGCTGCCCTGTCACCGCCTGCCGCTCGTCCTCTTGATTTGCTTCGAAGCAGCGGAGCATGCCGAAGGAAAAGTTGATCTTGGCACGGGTAGCAGCCTAAGCTCATATATATATATATATATATATATATATATATATAATAAAAATGTATATGTGTGTGTGTGTGTCTGCGCGTGTGTGTGTGTGCCGGTGTGTGTGTGCGTGTGCGTGCCTCTCTCGCTCTCTCTCTCTCCCCTCTCTCTCTCTCCTCACTCTCTCTCTCTCTCTCTCTCTCTCGCTCATCACACTCAGACCATTATTATTCCGACTTGCTCACACTCAAATGCACTTACATTCGGATTCATCACACCCAGATCTATCTTACTGAGATGTGCTAACCGTCAGATGCGTTCACACTCAGATGCGCGCTCACTCAGATCCGCTCAGCCATGTCATCTTCATTTGCATCCGCACATCACTCATACAGTCAGAGCCCCATGCTCATGTCGATGTAGCAGGCGAGGCGCTCGATGTTTGATCACTTGAATCAAGGGCGTTAACAACCCCCCGACCCTGCTTTACGAGGCGCTGTGCGCTGAACCTCCTGTGGGCTGACAGGGTAAACCCTGCATGTCTCGCGTGTCGCGCGGCGTCCTGGCGGCTCCCTGGCCTTTGGGGACTCCCAGGAGGTTTGCGGACCGCGCACTTGCAACCCAGGGCAGGGGCGTTCTTGCACCCCCCAATGGAAGGAGGAGCCGCCAGGGGTGGGGACACGTGCCCGTTCGCGCCCGGACTGTGGGGATGTCTCGGGCGGTCTGCTTGTCTGGTTGGTCAGAGGTATGCTCTTTCAGAGTCCCAGGCTTGTCGCCGCGATGCAGCAGGCGTGACGTTCGAGCACCTCAGGGAGGAGCCGCCAGGGATGTGGACGCCTGCCCGTTCGCAGCCATCAGGTTGCGGGGATGCCCCAGGCGGATTGCCGTTTGGTTGATCAGACTTGCTCTTTTTTCAGACCCACATGCTCGTCGCCATGTAGCAGGCGTCGCTTTTGAGCACCCCAAGGCTCCGAGGAGGAGCCGCCAGTGGTGGGGACATGTGCCTGTCCGCGCCCAGACTGTGGGAATGTGTCAGGCGGTTCGCCTGTTTGGTTGATCAGAGTTCTCTCCTTTTTCAGAGCCCCATGCCTACCTTGATGTAACAGGCGTGGCACTTGAGCAACGCAAGGATGAGCCGCTGGACATCTGCCCGTCCGCGTCCAGATTGCGAAGATGCTTCAGGCGGTTAGCCTGTGTGGTTGATCCGATTGCTTTCGTTTCAGAGCCCAGTTCTTCTCGTGATGGAGCAGGCGTGGCACTTGGGCACCCGAAATATGAGCCGCCAGGGTTGGGAACAGTTGCCCGTTCGCGCTGCCCGCTTGGATAATCGGATTTCTGTCTGCAGCGCCCCATGCTCGTCGCGATGTAGTAGGCGTGGCATCTGAGCACCCCGAGGAGCAGCAGCCGTTGGTTGGGCTAGTTGCCCGTTCGCGCCCAGATGGCGGGGATGGCTCAGGCGGTTTGCTTGTGTGGTTGATCGGAGTTATCCTCTTGCTGAGCCCCATTCTTACCTGGGAGCAGCAGGCGTGGCACTTTAGCATCCCGAGGAAGAGCCGCTGTGTGTGGGGATATTTGCCCGTTAGCGCCCAGACCGTGGGGATGCCACAAGAGGCTTGCTGCCTGTTTGGCAGATCAGACGTCTTTCTTGTCAGGGCCCCGTGCTCATCACGATATAGCAGTCGTGGCACTTGAGCACCCCGTGGAGGAACTGCCAGGGTGTCGGTTCCGTGCCCCTTCGCGCCCAGCTGGTGGGGACGGCTCAGGCAGCTTGCCTTTAACCGCCTTAGACAAGGTAGGATCCTCTGACTTAGGAACTGACAGACCGCAGCGCCAGGACGAGGATATCCGCCTGGAATGGTCCTCCAATGAATTCATGGAAACCAAAACCGTCACTGAAGGCACAGATGCATGCCTTCATATAATTACACCAGAGAAAGACCCCGATCAGTGGATGGTTTTCGCTGAGGAGATCGACTGGGAACCCGGGAGCCTGGGAAATCGGCCCGGAACCCGTAAGCGGGAACCCGGGAACCCGGAACCGGGAACCCAGGAACCCAGCCTGCTACCAAAACCGGCGGGAAATTTTCGCCTAATCTTTCAATTTCCGCTAGGACCCCTTCGGTGCAAGCACTGATTGGGGAAAAACGTCTGCCGTCACCGAAGTTCGCCCCCCAGCGCAGGAAGTGCGCCACGGGCTGTGGGGCTTCAACCCCGCGCTGACGGCGCTCGCCGTCTCCGTCTTCTTCGCGCCCGTGCCCTGGGCGCCAGCCCTCGCCCTGGCGTGCGGCGGAGCATTGGCGACGGTGCGTCGGGGGGGCCCTCGTTGCGACCGCCGGTCCAGTCTTCGTCTTCCCTCCTACCTCTTGCTCTGTCTCGTCCTCTTCCTCCTCCTCCTCCTCCTCATCCCCCCCGCTCCTCCTCCTCTTCCTCCTCCCCCCCTCTCCGATTTCTTCCTCGGCCTCCTGATGTTCCTGTTCCTCCATCTCCTCCTCCACCCCCCTTCCTCTCTCCTCCTTCCCGCTCTCTCCTCCCTCCTTCTCCTCCTCCTCATCCTCTTCCTCTTTCCTCTCTCTCGTCCTCGTTCCCCTCCTCCTCTGCCTCCTCCTCCTCCTCGCTCCCCTTCTCCTAATCCCTCCTCCTCCTCCTCCTCTTCCTCCTCCTCCATCTCCTCCTCCTCCTCCTCCTCCTCCTCCTCCTCCTCTGTCTCCTCCTCCTCCTCCTCGTCCTCCTCCTCCTTGTCCTGCTCCTTCTTCTCCTCCGCTTCCTCCTTCTTATCCTCCTCCTCCTCCTCCTCCTCCTTGAACTCCTCCTTGAACTCCTCCTCCCTCCTTTCCCTGCACCATCATCCCTTCTTCCTCCCCCTCCTTCTGCAGACCCTACATCCTCCACATTCCTTCTCCGTCCGACCCCCTCTTACCTCTTCTCATGATCATCATCATCATCATCATCATCATCATCATCATCATCATCATCATCAGCAGCAGCAGCAGCAGCAGCAGCAGCATCAGCATCATCATCAACATGACCATCACCCTATCAAGGGTTCTGCGAATTACGGAAGAAGCAGCAAACTCCTTACATGTCGACACGCTAGCCGGTTTCAAAAGGCCAAAGCTTTTTCCCGAGGGCCTATGACAAGTGCTCTGTTTGATTCTGCCGCTTGGGTGGCCAGCCAATCGCTGCTGAGGGAAATCCGGGCTTGGGAGAACCAGTTTGTCAGGAAAATCTGGCGCTTGCGGTGGAGAAGTGAGACCGAAGGGCGTTGCAAGTTTTATCGGAGGACGGCCAAGCTGATCGACAAACAGTACAAAGCCTCAAAGTTGTCGCAAGGACACCACAAGTTTCTCCGGGCGCTGCACGAATGGCGGGGCCGATCGTTTTCTTTCACTTGGGGGGACGGGCAATATCCTATCAGAGAATTGATGCTATACCGCCCACAATCCCATCACGAGACAGGACAAGTGATGCAGCAATATTCCAAACGTCTCCGTCTTGACGAGGGGGGCGAATGGAGATACCGATCCGTGGGGAAGCAACGGCGAGGAGACAACGACATATTTGATGAGATGTTGCCAGAATGGAGAGGCGTCCTTGAACGCGGCATCGGGGCTTGGAAGCAGACGCGCGACAAGTTCATCAACGACGTGTGTCGCTCATGGAACTTCCCGGGTTGGGATGGGCCGAAAGGGTCTTGGAAGTTACGGGAGGATAAGATAGGCTCAATATCCCAGCGTGCCATCTCCGAGCTGCAAGATGACGTCCCTTTGCTGTTGACCACGGTTACATCTGCATCAATCAAGACAATAAGCGCCGAATCTGGATCACCTCGGGCATGCAACTTTCGGGCGGTGCGGCGCCGGCTCTCCAGAGACATTCCGCCTCGCCTTCCCTTCTACGATCGGGCTTCGCAGGTCTTCTACGACCTATCGCCCGTAATCCTGGACAGTGATTTGGTGTGGGGGCCTTCTTCTGAATTCAACCGGTTCAAAATCATAGTCGACTCGGAGGTCGTGGCGGACGCGGCACTCGGAAAGGCGAAAATGGACAGGTGCGCCGACGTTTTGCGGTCCCAGTCGGAATTGCTGGCCTCGTTGGTTTGCTTAGGCCACCGTCCAGCGCAGGACTGGGGGGACCCGATCGAGTGGAGACCCAGGGACAAAAACGTAGAGGCTGACCGGTTAGTAAATTTGTGTTTAGATTTTCCTGAGTTGCAGGGGGTGTACATTAATCCCAGGGCCTCCGAGTTTTTACATTCGAATTGTCTTTGTTGGTCGGACGGGGGGTTTCGAAGTAAATCTTCCTCTGGGGCTTCGGGGTGGATCATAAGATGCGCCCACCCGCCTCACGACATAGTTGCCTATGGCCTCGCAGCCGCCCCGGAAGCTGAGGACGCCCTGATCACAGAGGCTTTAGGCATTTTGGCTGTAACCCGCGCTCTCTTCCTCCTCCTCTCCTCCCGCCAACTCGGCTCCCAGAGCCTCCTGCGGAAGTTCCAATCAACGTTCCCTGGCACTGTAGAGCTTCAAGACTCTAATCCTTGTTGGGCGTATTCTCATTGAAGGCCCTTGCACGAAATATGTTCCTCCTGGCAGATCGGTAGCGTGAGGTGTGATGCAGCCAAGACTGGCGCAGCAGAGTGGAAATAAAAATAATCAGCAGCAGCAGCAGCATCAGCATCACATCAGCACCATCATCGGCATCATCATGAGCGTCATACTCATCATCATCATCATCATCATCATCAGCAGCAGCAGCAGCAGCAGCATCGTCTTCATCAGCGTCAGACTCAGCATCATCAGCATCATCATACTCGGCATCGTCGTCAGCATTATCATCATAACCATCATCATCATCATCATCATCATCATCGTCATCATCGTCATCATCATCATCATCCTCATCATCATAACCAGCATAATCGTCATCATCGTCATCAGCATCAGCATCATCAGCAGCAGCATCAGCAGCAGCATCCGCATCATCAGCAGCAGCAGCACTAGCAGCTGCGGCAGCAGTATCAGCATCAGCAGCGGCATCCTCGCCATCATCATCATCATCACCATTATCATCATCATCATCATCATCAGCAGCATCATCATCAGCAGCATTAGCATTATCATCATCAACAGCATCGTAAGAATCACCACCATTGGCAGCATCACCATCATCTTCATAACCATCAGCGTTATCGTCATCCTCTGCATCATCAGCAGAAGCATCAACATGATCATCCGCATCATCATCAACAACATAAGCATTATCAGCATCATCATAATGAGCATCACCACCATCCTGATCATCATCAGCAGCATCATCACTAGCAGCATCTCAGAATAACATTACAATCATCATCGTCGTCATCATCTTCAGCAGCATCATCCACATCCTCACCAGCATCATCATCAGCAGCAGCAGTATCATCAGCATCATCATCATCGTCATCAGCACCCTCATTAGCAACAGCGTCATCAGCAGCATCTCCATCATCAGCAGCATCATCAGCAGCAGCATCCACAGCATCATCAGCATAACCGGCTTTAGCATCACCAGCGTCACCATCATCATCAGCAGCATCCTCATCATCGTTATCGGCTTTATCATTATCAGCATCATCAGCATCAGCATCACCACCATTATCAGCCCCAGCATCATCATCATCATCAGCAGCATCATCATCCTCTTACTCAGCCTTCCCCTCATCATGTTATCCCTCCTCCGAATCATTATCTCCTATTCCTCCTCCCCCTCCCGTCCTCCTGCTACTTATCCTCCTTCTCCTCCTTCTCCTTCTCCTCCTCCTCCTATTCGTTATCATGTGTCCTCGTCCTCCTCTTCCTCCTCCTATCATCATCATCATCATCATCATCATCATCATCATCATCATCATCATCATCATCATCATCATCATCATCATCATCATCATCATCATCATCCCTTCCTCCCACGTCTTCCTCCTTCTCCCCTTCCGTAGGGCAACAGAGGTAGCCTTGGTTAGGATGGGTGGAGGCCCTCGCTGGAGGCAGGCTCCTCGTAGGAGGGGGGAGATGGGGCACCAGGGCATGTCTTAAAAGGAGGCTGGCCTTGGATACTGAAGGCCAGGGTTTGTTGCCGATTGTTTTTGCTTGAGTTTCATTAAGTTTGTGCTGGAAGTCCAGTTTAGACGTGGTGGATTCGCTGGACATTCGCTCAGGGCCGCCCCCTGGGAGTTGGGGAGGGGTCGCCGTCCCCGCGACCGGTGAGGAAGGGAGGGGGGATGGGCAGGCGGAGGAAGAGGGAGGGGTGAAAGGGGGGGCAGGGCGTAAGGGAGGAGTGAGCAGGATGGTTGAAAGAGGGTGGCAGGAGGGAGGGTGGGGGTGGGGGGTGGGGGGGGAGGAGGGTGGGACGGGAGAGAGAGAGGAGGAGGAGGAGGAGGAGGAGGAGGAGGAGGAGGAGGAGGAGGAAGAGGGGATGAGGAGGAGATGGAAAAGGAGGAGAATGAAAGGAGAAGGAGGAAGAGGAGGAGGAGGAGGAGGAGGAGGAGGAGGAGGAGGACGAGGACGAGGAGGGGGAGGGCGAGGAGGAGGAGGAGGAGGGACGAGGACGAGGGCGAGGACGAGGAGGAGGAGGAGGAGGAGGAGGAGAAGGAAGAGGAGGAATGAGGAGGAAGAGGAGGAAGAAGGAGGAGAAGGAAGAGGAGGAGGGGGAGGCGGAGGCGGAGGCGGAGGAGGAAGAGGAGGAGAAGGAGGAGGAGGAGGAGGACGAGGAGGAGGAGAGGAGGAGTTGGAGGAGGAGGAGGAGGAGGAGGAGCAGGTCGTGGTGGTGGTGATGGAGGAGGAGGAGGAGGAGGAGGAGGAGGAGAGGGCGAGGAAGGGACGGAGGAACTGAGGGAAGAGGGAAGGCGGAGGGGCGACGAGGGAGGGAGGGCCACAGGGAGGGAAGCTGGGAGAAGTAGCCTGGATCAGAGGGCCGGCGGTCGCCGCGTGCCCTAGTCATAGCGCTGCGCTCGAGGGCTCGCTCGGATCGAGGCAGGAAAGGGTCACAGAAGAGTCCGACAGGAAGGCCTGCACGGTCCCGCTTATGATCAAGAAACCTCCCCCCGAAAAGTTGGCCCAGCGTTTCTTAACCAAATTGCTGGAAAGCTGGCTGAGTCTTGAGGGGATTGATAGCCTCGGATCCTAGAAATGCATAGCGTACGTTCCTGGCTCCGAACGCTGGCCACAGAAGAGTCCGACAGGAAGGCCGGTATTGTCCACACGTATGATGTTCCAGCCTATTTCAGCCTTGGCCGCCAGAACTAACTCCGAGCGCCAGGAAAGTGCCCAACAGCTCGAGGGTTTTTACGTGTCGGGCCCTGGGAGACACTCGCCCGACGCTGTTTCGACACTCTTTCGAAACTCTTTCGACACTTTTCCGGGTGCTCGAATTTGTTCCTGGGATGTGGTCCTGAAGTACGATAGGGGGGCAACATAAGTCTAGACTGCCCAGTGCTGGCAGCCGTTTCGCTTGAGATTCCCGCGCAATGCATGCGGGCATTGCGCTCTCGCCTCAATGCGGGCTACATGGTTGTCCGGGCGGCCACGATCCCTTGCAGAAAACACTCAGATGCACACGGCCGTGCTCTCGGTCCTGTCCCCATTTAGACGACCTCCTACTCCTCGACCCGCCTCTTCACCCCTGCTGCTGCCAGGGTGCTTTGCCGTGGCAATTTCACCTCGCGGCCCCCGAGGCCCCGACCGCCTGCCCGGGGGCCAGCCTGTCGCCCCGGGCCACCCTCTTGCCGATCTCGAGGCCCGACCTTCTACACCTGCCCCAGAGGCCGACATCGGCGAACAACGTCAGGCACGCGCAGAGAGGGGGGGGGGTATCAAGGGGAGGGGCGCAGGCTTCTGAGAAGCTCCCCCCGGCTTCCTGGAAGGCGCGGGCCTCGCCTGCAGATGCAGGGCCGGCGCCTTCTGAGGTGCGGCCTCCTTCCGAGAAGCCTGCCCCCCCTCCCCCTGCCCCCCCCCCCCCCGCGCGCCGCCAGCAACGCCAGGACTGCACGGGGCATGCCGCCGGAGATCTGGGCGCGGGCCTCCCGCGTGTGGCCGTGAGCCGGCAACCGGCACCCGTGACCCCTGCGACTCCTCAACTCATCCGGGTGGGATTCCGCGGGGGCCGTGGTCGTGTGCTGTCGGCCGGCGGTCCCGGCTCGCACGGGGGCCTCCCTCGGGGTCCGACAACCCGCACCCATGTCTGTAGCGCGTTCACCTCCGTGCCCTTCCCCACTCCTCTATCATATCAAGGGCTCCCTCGAGGGCGCGAAGTTATTCGCGCTTCGCGCTTCGCGGTCCTCGTTCCTTCTCCCCCTCCTCCTCGTCCTCCTATTCTCCCTTTGGGAGGGCGGCGCGAGAGCGCGAAGTTATTCGCGCTTCGCGCTTCGCGCAGCGCGAAGCGCGAAGTTGGGAGCCCTAGCATATAGTCCGTATCGTTTCACCGATCCCCATCCCCATCCCCATCCCCATCCCCTTCGAGACCCCCACCAGATTACCACCCCAGTTGGGGATACACCCCTCGAAACCCGAAGGGAACGACCTACATCCCCATCCAGGGGGGTAAATCGGCCAGTGGGGCCCAGGCCACGCCGCTGGGGAGGGGGATCGGTGTTCTTCATCCCTGTCAGGCGGGGGCGGCAGCGGTCCTCAAGGCGGCCCTCGCGGGGGCCCTCGGGGTGCCCGCGCTGACGCTGCCCTTCTGCGCCGTGGCCTCGGGCTGCTACCTGCTGGCCGGGCGCGCTCCCGGCCTCGCGCTCGCCGCGGCGGCGCATTCGCCTGAGGCGAACCTCCGTGCGCTGCGCGCCGCTGCCCGCTGAGCTCGGCTCGCTTTTTTCGCTCGCTCTCCCCGCCGCCGTCCTCGTCGGCGTCCCCGGAGACCTGGGCGTTGCAATTCGCTCACGCCGTGCGCCGGGAGCCTGCGAGCGTTCTGGTCGGTCCTCGGCGGCCTTCGGCCTCGGGACGTTCTCCGGCGGCTGCGCCCCGCCACAGGGCCTGCCGGGGGTGCCCAGACCGTCCCGAGCGGCCGCTGGAGACCCGAGCCAGGACCCGAAGACCGCACCCCTTCTTCCCGGGGGCGCTGCTGTTTGTTCACGGGCGCTGTTGCCCCTTGGCATCGCTCGGAGATGTGCATTTTTCCTTCGGCGCGGACCATCGAGGAGCATCCTTGATCATGTCGCGAAAAAACAACGCACGAAACCAAATTATCCCGGCAAAGCAACCTAACAGCGATGTGTAGAAGCATAGCTGGAAACATTGCCTGTGGTATTCATGTAAGAGCGCTGTTGTAGAATCCGGGTGTTCTCGCAGTCGCATTCGGATTCGCAGTGGCAGTCGCAGTGGCAACATCAGCGGCAGTCGCAGTGGCATTGCCAGTAGTTGCAGTAGCAATAGCTACACTAGCAGCAGCAGCAACAGCAGCAGCAGCAGTAGTAACAGTAGTAGTAGCAGTAGAAGTAGTAGTAGAAGCAGTAGAACTATCAGCATGTCCTGGCATTAAGGTGTGCAGTAGGCAGTAGAACTATCAGCATGTCCTGGCATTAAGGTGTGCAGTAGGCGCTGCGCAGTTCCTTTGAAAGGAAATCTTGGAAAGCAGGGCTGTAGCCAAGAAGGCTACGGGGACGATGATGATGATGAAGATGATGAGTCTTGGAAGTCTGGGAAGTGGAAGAGCACGAAGTGGCGTACAGCTGGCTCCGGGCATTCAAAATGTCATCGGAAGTGGTGTTCTGGGAAGTGGAAGAGCACGAAGTGGCCTACAGTTGGCTCCGGGCATTCAAAATGTGGCCCGGGAATGGTGTTCTGGGAAGTCCGGGAGCACGAAGTGGCCTACAGTTGGCTCCGGGCATTCAAGATGTGGCCCGGGAAGGGAGTTTTGGAAAATGGAAGAGCACGAAGTGGCTTACAGTTGGCTCTGGGCATCCAAAATGTGGCCCGGGAATGGAGTTCTGGGAAGTCGAAGAGCACGAAGTGGCTTACAGTTGGCTCCGGGCATTCAGAATGTGGCCAGGGAGTGGAGTTTTGGGAGGTCGAAGAGCACGAAGTGTGTGACTGTTTGCAAAAATCGAGTTCGGACCCAGCTCCCCGGATGCCGCCCAGACCCCCCTGGGGAGTCATCAGATGTTTTTTTTTGACCTTATTAGAAACCTATTAGTCTTCGCTGTTTGGTAAAAAAACACAAGGAATGGACGTCCGAGCGATGGCGAGGCCCTGCTTCGGGCGCCAGGGCCCTCACAGATCGATCCAGCTAGACGCTTCGCCGAAGTGATTCTCGGCGCGGGCCCAGAGGCATCCCGCCGGCACCGGCCTGCGCGCCCGGATCTGCCCCCC